ATAATTATAAACTTCTTTTTTAAAAAAGAATTTAATTTTTTGAAGTTAATAAAATAATGTTATATAAAGAATTAAATTATATGGTAGTCATTCGTTCTCTTTTTAATAATTGTAATAATTTCTTTAATTATTACTTATACAGAATGTTTCATGTACAAATTAAAACAAATATAAAAAATAAATAGAAGTTTTTTTAATTTTTTTTTAATTTCCCGCCTAATTATAACATAACTAGATATAAGATCACGTGAAAGCATCGATAATTATTATTATTATAAAATATACTTTATTTTTAATTATATTAATATAAAACACATATTTTCATTTGCTCCATCATTATTATATTTTAATATTTCCACAGTCTCTCATTTTTATTATTAACTAATCTAAGCTTCAAGCAATTTTTCTATCTCTTCAATGAAAAGAAGATGCAAAATTGTAACTTAAAGAATAAACAAATTCAACAAATATTTTTGACACTTTTTATAATCACATCTTCAATTTTTTATCTCTCCAAACGAAGATATAATTCTAACACAAGCAAACTCAATTCGACTCAGATCATTAACGAATCAAATTAAAGAAAAAACTGCAAAATCCTCTTTCCAAAGAACTTCAAAAATTCATCCATGGTTCCCTTATTGTTAGAAACGCTCCCGATCGATCCCCAAGTGAAAGTATTTATTCCCTAGTGGTGTGGGCCGCCCTTTGATCTCGCGGGATGGGATAAAGCTCGAACCGCTTCGATTGTTTCCTCACGACGAAAGCGGGCCGACGAAAGTCCCTGAGAATCCGTTCGTCCACGAATTCCTGGCCAATTACGGCCAGGCTCTCGTTCTCCTGGGTTAACGAGGATTCCGGCGAATTCTTCGTTTCCACCCTCTCGATCGAAGAGGACACCAACTTCATCCACCTTCCATCGGCGAAAGATCTCATACATATTAATGACGATTCGATCGATTCGAGCTCTGTTTGGAGACAACGTGAGCCCTTCCGTTGGTCACAATGGTTATTATGCCATTAATGTAATGAAGGTTAGGCGGAAATAAAGGTTCAGGTGTTTCGTTTTTTAGACGTGAGGAATGATAATAGAATAGGATCAAAGTATTTATCGAATGAATATAAGGGTTGATTGGTTAATTGTTTTTTTCTAGACTCTGATGAAAAATTTTTGAGAATGGTTTCTTCGAATGAATTTCTTTTTGAAAATTTTTGAGGATTGAGGGGATATTTTAAATCTAAATTAGAGATGTAAAATTATGCAAGAAAAATGGAGATTTTGAATTGAAGAAATTTTGAAAAACGAGTTTCGATAACAATTTAATCAAAGATTATAAGATTTAAGAATTATATTTTGAAAAAAATTTTTATTATGAGACTTTTTAACGTGTTGATATTAGGCTTACGATTATTTGAGAAAGATTTTTAATGTTATAATGTATTTTAAATCTATAATAATATATCTTAAATAAGAGATGAAATCGTATAGAATCTTGAAAATAATTTCTATATCAAACATTTATCGGTATTTTTAATATAACATTTAATTTCGAAGTAATTAAAATGCAATCAATATAAAATAATTCTTTAATTGATTCGTTCATTTTTTTTTAATTTTGATATGCAAATGATGCAAACAATCGTAGACACTTAAATTACTCAAGGCTATATCGTGGATTTTTTTTAAAAATTACGTAAAGTTCGTTTTCGAGTCCATTGAAAATATGCTCGATAAATTTTAAATAAACGATGCATTTTTAATTTTAATTAAACCTGGGTTACATTCAATTTTCAAGCCCAATAATACTCGAGCGAAGTTAAAAATTTAATCGTGTTATTCGACGAGCATCCAGTTTTACACGAACTTAAAATGTATTAAACTCGAAAGCGTTTTAAACGGGTAGGGCTGCGTCAAATAAAGAATACAAGCAATTTTTCCCCGCGTATATAATTCATATCCCGTAAATGTAAAACGGGATTGAATACAATTTTACGTTCGATGAATCGTAACAATTCACTTACACGTGGATTCAGACACGTTTCATACGTACACGCGCCAACAATATTTTCACTGACCACATTGTGTTACCAAAAGTCAAACAGAAAAAGATACTAGAGGATCCACGTTGTTGATCCTCGCTAATGCATCGCGATTAGAGTTTATTGTTCTTATACATAGATTGAAGCAAACGGTAAACAATTTGTCCCCACGATGGACCGAGTAACTACTATTAGATCGATTAAGTCAACGTGGAAGACGCATGGGTGATATGTTTAGGTGGCTGGAAACTGAATTCCTTGTGGCAACATGCTCGGTGTTTGCCGATTGTATTTCTTGTATCAACAATTGAGAAACGTCGTGGGCCGTGATTGCTTTTGTTTTACGACCGGTTGAAACTAACTCGCGTGAAACGGGGTTACTCTAAATCCTTGTTGTTACCGGTTCATTATTAAACGTTCATTCAGAAATAGAATAGTGCTGTGTACACGTGTATCGGATAGAATTAATCTTTTATCGATGGATTAGAATTGAATCGATTCGAATTTATTATTCAATATTTTTTATTTTGTACGGAATGATGATAGAAGAAGAAGTAAAGGAAAATAAAAATAATATTTTTATTTTAAAAAATTAAAAAAAATCAAACTTGGAAATTATTGAATGAAAATTGATTCATTTAATAACAAGTAATAATAAAAATATCGATACAAATTTGGAATTGGAGCAAGTGTTATAATTCCTTGAATAATGATGGCTTAATGGTGATACAATTTCAATTTTAAAATATTAAAGTGTTTATTATAGAATTAAATTAGAATAGTAAAAAGAAAAGTTCATATATGAATATTTGTTATATTTATTTCATGAGAAAAAATTTTTATTAAATTAAGGATTTGATTTTTGATTTTTCATATATATAATCTTTATATTGTATCCTTTTTTCAGATAAATAAGCAATAAAATTTTTTATTAAATATTTTCTATTACTTTTGACTTCAATAGATATTGTTATCATCATTCCTAATTATGATTTTCAATTTTTTGAATTACAAATTTTCATTAACGAGATATATGAAAGTGTTAAATAACGATAACTTTTAAAAAAATTAAAAATTAGAAAAAGAAAAAACATTATATTCGCAATGTGGAAAATGTTTATATAACAATTTTGAAACATTAGTAAATTTTTTATCACATGATAAAATTGGCAATTATATAGCTATGATATAATATCATAAAATAATTAAAATAAACCTTTATATTATGAAGAAGAAAATAATGAAAAAAAAAATTATAATTAGAAAAGAAATATCTAAGAAAATATAATCATAGTGATATATAATTTACAAAGAAATAAAGATCATCCTTTAAAAATATATATATATATATTCTATTTAATATTTTATGACATTTCCATGTCTATTATTTTTATATTGGCATTGAGCTGTTAGCTATATGTCCACTTATTGCAAATTTTTTTTAATGTTGTCTTTGATAAGAAAAAATTTAAAAGTTATGCACCATTTTGATTAGTCTTATTCTAATTTAAACTAGCTGCCTCTCGATTTACTGTTACTCTCATTCACTGTTATTTAGTTTTTTCTTCTTCTTTTTAGTTTTGTTTTATTCTTCTTTATTCTAAAAACTAATAAATCTCTCAACATGATATATTACATATGCATATATATTTATCATATTTTATATCCATATTATTATTTTGCATTTGCTTTATATCAAAGAGATATCATTTATATGATTTATATCAAAAAGAAATTCGCTCCATGGAAATCTAAACGATCCGGAACTAGAATAACAGATTAATTATCGCATCCATTCGAAAAAGAAGCTGATGCAAATTGGCAAATTATTTCGAAAAATGCCGAAAAAGAGTCGAGAGGAACAAACACGGGTTTTGGCTCTATAATTTAAACGCATACCAGCTACCGGAACTTTAACAGGTCACGCTGCGTTGATTAGTTGTAATGACAAAATATATCACTACTCCACCATCGTTAAAATATTTTCGCATGAAGTAAATAATGTATGCACATTGCAACGTATCACAATGTTGAGTCGCTATTAAGTAATGGTCAACCTAATATTTCTTTGTCACTTCTTCTTTGACATCCTGAGGTGGAATCTTGGTGAGAGTGTCACGAACCATTACTTATGTGCGATTTTAGGATTGGAATTAATGTATTTTATTTATCTCTTTCTTAAGAATAGAGTGTTATATTCGTGGGACATTTTTGGAGGGTGAATTCTTTAGTTTATTATACAAAGCTATATTTAGATTAGGACAATTTGTTAGAGAAGAAGAATTTTTGAATGAGATATTCATATAATTTGAAAAATTGATAAATAAAATAAATTTTAATAGAAAGATTTTTATATGAAATTAAAATTGATGTATTTTATTTCTCTTTTTCTTTTGGGAATTATTTATTGCAATTTAGAGCACGAATTAAGTTAAAATTCAGAATTTTATCTCGTTTTTTTATATCTAATTTTATATCTGAATTTATTTAAAAGAATTAGTTAACGTTTTTAAACGAGGCAATTATAACTAGTGAAAAAGAGATATAATAAGATAATAAAATTTTTAATTTGAGAAATTAAACGAATAAAGCTATATTTTTAAAAGCATTGAAAAAGTCTGAATACTTTTAAATATTATATGAATATATTTATGTATTATGCACATATTCATAATGTATTCATAAATGTATTTTAGAAGATATTGTTCAATTTTTTTGATTAAATCTTTTTTTATTATCAATCTTATAATTTATTAAACATAAATTTTATAATTTTTAAAAGATTGAATAAGATCTATTTTATTAAATTTGATAATTTGATTTTATTTAATTATTCTTTTACTTTGTAATTTAATAAATAATATTAGAAATATTTCGTTTCTAAAGAAAGAAATCTCATATTGAGAAATATATTGAAAATTTTAATAATTAAAAAAAAAAGTATTTTAAACTTCACTTACCTGTACGTGACTCCAGACTTTAGGTTTGGGGCTGGATCTCGCGTTATTTGTTGCATTTGAACTTCCAGAATTATTCGAAACGCTGCCAGATGAAGTTGTGGACTTGACGGACGGTTTTTGCGTTTTTTGAATCTGCGCTGTGACTGTGCTTGATGAATTGCTGCGTTGTTGCTGTGGCTGTTGCGCGGATGTTTGTTGCTGTTGTTGCTGTTGCTGCTGCGTCTGTTGCATAATCTGTTGAATGAGCTCCAGTTGCTGTTTCGTGAGACCATCGTTGCTAGCACCAGGAGACGTGGCACTCTATAAAATATAAAAAAAAGAAATAGAAATATTAATAGTCTATATTTCATTGAAATATATATCAAAATATATATACAAAAAGTTAATATCAATACGTAAAAAGAAGTAAGAGTTTTCTATTTGAGAATATTATTAAAATATTGATATTAATTTAATACTATGTGCGTATTTTAATTGTTTAAAAAGAAATAGAAAATAAAAAAGTTAAAACTGTGGAAAAAAAGTGCAAATTATTTTTCTTATTCAATTTTTCTTAGAACCTTTCGAGGTTTCATTTAAAAAAGAGAAACGAAAGAATAATTCTAGAGAAAAAAATTTGACGTCGACCTAGAAACCTTAATTGATTAAAGCAATCCAGGTTGAAAATGTACTTGAAAATGGGAAACTTCGTTTGACGGTTTAACGATCTTATGCAAGAATTCACTTTATTCGATGTAAATACTTTGTAAATCTTTGAAAAAATCAAAGAAAAAAAGCAATTGAAAGTGCGTTTATTTTTCTTTTATATATTCTTTAAGTTCATCCATTAAAAATCTAAACATTTTTTTGCAGAACAAAACAGAATAAAACAATAAAACAATAAAAATTTCATTCAATAACTAATTACAACATTCATTTAATATTTAATATTTTTTAATATTTTATTATTTCACTAACAAGTTTCAAATATTTTTATGTATAAAAAAATTATATCTTTTAAATTTTTTCTTATATAGATACAAAATCATTCCTCAAATTTTATATACTAAGGATAAATTACATCATAACAAAATATTTTTCTTTCTTCATCAGATGATATAAAAATATGATAATAAATGTTAAAAAAATAGATTTAACTTTCATGTGGACACTAAAGTCTTTTTATTAAAGAATTTCTATTGAAAAAATTCTTCTGTTTCCATGTACTAAAATTCTATATATAAAAAAAAAGAATAACCATTTTTACCAGTCCACCTTGTACAAGAAAAACGAAAGCCCTGAACAACAAACCTCAATAAACCCCGACCACACTCTCTCTGAAAAAAAGATGCTCAAAAAAATCACCCTGCTCGAGAGAAACCATCATTTCCGCCAACATTCCCTTTCCACATTCCTCCACCACGTTCTATTAATTCCAGTTTACATTAAAAACACGTTTCCGCTAATTCACCGTTCGCAATTCCGTGCACTAACTCGGCGACTGAATTTTAAAAGAGCGCGCTCTTTTTTCTCTTTTATCGATCGAGCCCAGCGCATAGTTCAGCGAGAGAAAGAGAGGCAGAGAGAGAGAAAGTGAGTTTTTCCCTTTTTAAGAAATTCCATCCGCCATGAATGTTAACGACCATCGTAATATTCACGAAAAGATCGACCCATAAAATTCGTGCGCACCCACGATGCGCATGCACGCGCGTAAACGCACGATACTTACCCACCGAGCGAACAATGAAACTTATTGCTGGATATATACAAGGGGCCATGCACCTGTGCTTTGGCGCCCCATGTTGTTCCGCTCGCCGTGTATACGGTTGTTTTACAGTCCAACAATCTCGTAACATGAGCGAATATTATCAGAGGAATCTCGAGATCGAAGAGTCGAAATGTGGAATACGAAAAGAGATGAAAAATAAATGGTAATAAATTTAACCATAGTTGTTTATATGGTAATTCAATGAAATCTTTATTTTATTAGTATGATTAACTATTTTATACATTTTTTAATACTTTCAAATGAAATTATATTGTTTGTGGAATAATACTTTAAGAAAATATTTTCCGTTTTCATTAATATTCTGAAAAATAAATTATAATATTTATATAAATTAAGTTAATTTAAGTTTTATCTTAAAAATATAATATCTAAACTATAATCTGTGAAATAGTTATTTATAAAGTTTTTAATGAATTTTTTAATGAATATTTAAAAAATATCCAATTGTCTATTTCTATTATCTATTATTTTATTAAGTATTTTCAAATTTTTTTTCAGAATAAAATTATGCTACAAATTTTTAGCTACACATTTTTAGATACACAAAAGAAAATTTTTTAAATCATCAAGTTCGAAGAAATAATCGAATAGAGGAACCATAATAAATCATCAAATAAAAAAAAAATTCGTTTTCTACCGCCAAACTCCCGCAAACTATTTATTTCTCGATTCTAAACCTACCAAGAAATAACATTCTAACCCTACGATAAATTCGGATAAGATGTTTCACATAAAATAAAAGCGGCAGCAGGGAAAAAGCGGTGGAGAAGAAAAAGAAACGAGAAGGATAATAATAAAAAAAAAAGGAGCAAAATAAAAGAGAAAGGGGAGGAAAAGGACGAGAGCGCTCGCGTGGATGCGTACAAACGAAAGAATGGCGGATGCGAGCAATGGTTGTCCTGCTTGCTGATCGTTTTTCAACGACACACCATGGAAAAACCGTAGATACCGCTATGCTTTATTTTCCTTCCCTCCCTCTCTCTCTCTCTCTCTCTCTCTCTCTTTGCTCAACGAAACGACGAATGACGAGAACGGTAACAAAGGGACACGACGGGGGCCGGATTTCACGATTTTTAATTAAGAGACCGGTCCCATTGGGTTACCACGGACACGCCTGGCATGCCATTCGTGTCATCGCTTTCGATCCTCGGACTAGGTTTCCTGAATTATTCGGGTGTGATCGCGGAAAGTCCGGTCATTCAATGCTCCCTTCGTTCCTGGGCGAGCGTTTTGGTTATTACGGACACCACCAGGCCGAAAAATCTCGGGACAATTGACGGGAGATATGTGGGATACGCGTTTTTTTTTTGTGTGCGTTTTCATTGACTCTGAGGTTCATCGTGATGACAATGGTGGGACATCAATTTGGTATAGAGAATCGGGGGAATATTGTTTTTGTTTTTTTTTGTTTTTTTTTTGAATTTACGAGCGATTTCAATTTGTGGATGGATCGAGCGAGAGTAATAATTTTTCAGGTTAATGGTAAAACAATGAAGGATATACAGAAGATGTTGATTTTGTCCATGGTTTACAATAATTGGAAACACAATTATTTCTTATAAACATTGGATGTATTTGATTCTTTCTAAAATTTTAATGAATGAATAGTACTTCGGTCGTCGTTTTAATTTAAAAATTTATTCTGTGACGAATATTGTTTTAACGAATTTTTCTTCAAATATCAGTAAATTTATATATTATAGTATAATATTGCTCGAATATATTTGTCATATATACATAGAATAATTTAATGTTATTTTTAAGAAATTCTAGCAAATGTTACTTGAAAAAGAATTATCTTGCTTCATTTCTATCAAATTTAATTAAAAATAAATTATGTATTTATCGTACGTACAACAATTTCCACGATTTATTTCGACCTCCAGAATCGATCTTTCGACCCTGTACATATGAAGCAAACAGCTAT